GAGAAATCACCCCCCAGGGGGGATGGTCACGCCGCAATCCCTTCTCCTCCATTCTCCTCTCGGGATCTTGGGCACGCACGCACACACGCCCGGCGTGAATTTTAAGCCACCGGTCCGGGACACGAACCGCAGTCGACTATGTGGGAGTCCAGCGACATAACCATTACACTAACTGCTGGTTCCCTTAGTTATATATTCTTCATGAAAGTTATTCTGAGTTTATTTTTCATTACTGTCGGCAATTGATGTATCATCTTTCTGGCAAGTGGAAATGACAGAAGATACTTGTAACAGGAGTTTCAACTTAATGAATGTTGTCACTAATGAGAAGGGGAGTTCTTTTAACGTCTTTGCTTCTCCTAAAATCAATTCCCCAAAACTATAATTTTAATATTTTGTTTGTTGGAGTCAGCAGGTGACAGGGTGGTTAAGCTACAGGACTCCCACATGACTGATGGTGGTTTGAGTCCCAGATCTGGCACCCAGATCTGTGTGTCTCACTCCAATTAAATTTAAAATAATAATAATAAAATAAAATAATTATTTTTAGAATATTATGTTGGGGGGCCAGCAGGTGGCATGGTGGTTGGGGGAACTGAACTCTTACATGACCCACCGTGGTTCAAGTCCCAGACCTGATGGCGTGCTTTCTTACTCCCCCTCTCTCTCTCACTCTGTCCCTCTCTGGTCAAATTAAAATAAATAAATGAATAGGTGAATGGAGTTGAATGGAATGATTCTTTAAATATATATATGTATAAAATGTTTGCTCTCTATAGAGTCATTTCTAGTTATTTTATTCTGGGTACATACTCTCTGTAGAATAGTTCATGCTTTGTCTTGTTGGGGACTCTAGTTCCATTGATTTCACAAAACCTATTTAGTCTCTCTTTTCTTGGGGAAGATAGTGCTAGGTGCTTTATCATTTTTGCTTTTACCCAAGTGCTCTTTGAGTATCTTCTTTCTCTGTGTGGAAATGAGAATTGACAAACAGGATGAATTGAAATGATAATTTTGATAATTTTGGTTGTATTGTGGTTGATAATCTGCTTTACAAAGACTTGCAAATATTTTGGGGAATAAACTTTTAAAGAGCATATTGCCTAAAGAAACTTCTTATTTTGTCTTGGAAAACAACTTTGAATAGAGTGACTGAACTGAAGTTATTTCTTATGTAAAGGCTTATATAAGGCTCATTTAAAAAATGTATGCTCCTTGACTTGCAGAATCAAGAAAATTTGAACAGAGATACTGATCTGTGTAGATTAAAGATGACACTTAAAGTTTAAGATATATTTAAATTAAGCAAGGACAATCTAT